CTTTCAATTATGTGGTCAACCACCGCAGAATTAAGCAATCGTCATTCTTTTTGTAGAGCAGTTTCCAGCTCAATAAGAGTGGCTGGAGGTGGGAAACGTGAAGATACAGCACGCCGAGAGCATCTCAAAGATTTTCAATGGGATTAAGGTCGGGCGAATATGCTGGCTACGCCATACGTGCAATCCCTTCACTTTCCAGGTAGTCATCGACGATGTCAGCTCTATGGGGACGTGCGTTATCGTCCATTAAAACAAAAGTAGGACCAACTGCTGCAACGTACAATCTCACAATGGGTTCTAGAACTTCATCTCGATACCGGACAGCCGTCAAAGAGCCCCGTTTAAAGATGCGCAGGTCGGTGCGGTATCCTAATGAAATCCCTGCCCACACCATAATGCTTCCGCCTCGGAATGCGTGATATTCGGTGATGTTTTGGGACTGATTGTGTGTTCGTTGTTCACGCCATATCCTTATACGCTTGTCATCTGGCTTCAGAGTAAATCTTGACTCATCAGTAAACATGGCATTGCCCCAGTCAGACACATTCCAATTGGTATGTTCCCGGCACCACTATAATCGTGCCCCTCTTTATTGGACTAATAGGGGAACACACACTGTAAAAAAAAACCTCGAAGTTTACAGACAAAAGTCTTGTACAGTTACAGAAATACGAACAATTACGAAGGAAATACCTGTAACGAACACAGAACCAAACGAAACTGTAAACTCTACAGGAGTTTTTTTTTTTCAAGAAGTTTTGCTTGGATTTTGTCCGTAGCGTGTGATCACGTGGCTTAAAACGGCTGAGAGAGAAGAACCAATCAGGAAGAAGGTGGAAAAACAGCGTCTTAATTCAAGCATTTTTTCGTCTGTCAGCTCCGATGTCGAAAGTTGATGTTTGTAGTTTGCTCTGGTTTCAAATACAAATTTTAAATGCTTAGGTTTCAACTACAACAATAAGCTTGACTGCTAAGAATGCATGTTCCTTATTGGTAATTCTTATTCTTTCTATGGAGAAAATCAAAATAGCCTAAAAAACTACCTTAAATTTATATGTTCTTTAACAGATAAAATCAGACATTTCTGCAATCACTGTATTAAACAAACGCTGAATGATACTTTCGCTTCTTCTCGTGTGCATTCGTAAAAGTGAAATCGTCCATGGAGTTCTTCGGGAAATAAAAAAAAAAAAAAAAAAAAAAAAAAAATGCTGCTTTACCAGTGACCAAGTTGTTAAGACCGATGAATATTGGTAGTTCAACTCGAGCTTGAATCCAGATGAGGCTGGCTGCATGAGATTATTCTTCGTGGTTTTACGCATGTGTAACTAGCCGGTTCCCTTAGAAAGTTCTCCATAAAGGCATCTCTCCCCTTAGGTCGATAGTCCTCATATGCTTTGCATATCACAATATCCTTCCCACTAAAAAGTGCTAATTAACGTCTTTCGTAAAGACAGCTTTTATAAAACGAGGAATAAGTAAATCAGGAATCTTGATATCTTATTTAGTAGTATTCAGTCATAATAAAATAAAAATTTAAAAAAAAAAAAAAAAAAGGTTAAAAACAAATAAATGAAGTTTCGATTACAGCCTAAGTCTGATACAGCTCAGAATACAAAAAATCTTCACAGAAGGAATAAATATCAGTTAATACTTATACGAAGGCAACAAACCCAGAGCTCTAAAAATGTTTTTTAAGTACTCGCAGATTAGAACTTGACACGTCACTTATAAAGGTCAACGGAAAGTACCTCTGTGATATCATTCAGAACTGCAACTACACCAGTATGTTCATTCGCATTACACTCGAAGTGGAAGAACCTATTTCTAAAAAATGGTATTACTGCCTCCAGGAGAAAATTACCTAAAAATTAATGAACTTTTACTAAATTTTCAGATTTTTGCAACCTTGAAAAAACGAAGATGAATGTTAAAATGAAATGTTATGATGACTTCGTGAAATGTTATTGCTACGTTTTTATAGAAAAGCAGTATTTCCCGACTTGAAAAGCACATTTGTTTGTTTTTTACTTACTTGAGATTTACGCGAAATTGAGTTAAAAAAAAAAATGGTGGTTGGTTAATTAACTAATACATCACTTCAGCGAGTGTATGTCACTCTGGAAGAAGGTCTTCATGAAAGATTTCCTAACCAAAGTTGGTTCATGTTGATATTGCAAATAAACCACTAAACTCCCTTGCAGCAATTCTTGGAATCACTGGAAAAATCAAGCGCGGAACTAACTAAGCAGCACTAGCTATTAATTTTATGATATTACAATAAAAACTAAGTTATAGAAATTGTTACAGACAATTATACGTTCTTTACATTATCAATAACAATAATCATTACTGCAAAAACAACCGTATTTTCCATTTACGAAACAGTCAGCCACTATATAATTTCTGTCATCTTTCAAGAAAACCCAGAGCTTAACTTCCAAAATTAGAAGTGTCGGAGCCCTATGGAAAACCGTCAGGAAAGAGATACAAAAATAAATAAACACAATATCTAATAAAATAATTTAAAAAATCTGAAAGCTTTCAGATTTTACATTACGCCCAAAACGACGTTTTTTTAACGTTTTCTGTGTTACCTTTATTTATTAAATAACATGTTCTTAGCTCTTAAACCATAAAATTCACTTCGCAGCAATATCAAAAATAATTTTAAAATGAGCAGATCTTTGGAATTTCCGATACACAGTCTCGCGGGCGCTGGAGATAATTTTTTTTTCTTGTACAGTGCTGCCATGGCTCGCTCTGAAATCGTTGAGTTTATTAATCCAAAATTCGTTAAAGTGTTACAAAATATGAAATCGATAATAAAACGAATTTCAAATTAGGGCTTCCAGATGCCCATATTCGGTGAACGATTACATTATTCAAAATTTGATGGCTCTAGGTACCATTGTTTTATCACAATGCGAGAAACATAATATACATTAATGCAGATTCTTCATTATTTAATTTCTTAAATATAACACAGGGCGATAATATTTGGTGGCAACAATTTGAAAAGTGAATCAACGCAAAATGCCAAAAACGAAATTAATAGCCCTTTTGAGCTAACGCTCCTTTGGACTAATAAAGTAATTAATAACCAAAATAGTAAAGCAATCAAAATTAATATTCAATAAAATGGAAAGAGATCGATCACTCAAAAACTAAGAAATACCTCGGCTGGGCTGGCTTTGGCTAACTTACGTCCTGAATGTACAAGCATAACAAAGTGTACTATTTCAAGTAATGATAGAAACAAAGATAATTTTTTCCCAGTACCCCCATTAAAAATGTGTAAAATGGTTAAAGCCCCACTAATAAGAAGTGGGGAAATACTAAAAAATGTATGAGCGTTTGAAAGGAAATTTAAAAGGAGATGTGTAGATAGGAATACAAAAAAGAAGAGTCCAAAACTTTCTGACCACGATTCCCTGCAAACGCAATTTTAACTGTCAAACAGAATATTATAGGGAGAAAAAATTTTCTCCGAATCCAAAGGTTAACTGAGAACAAAGTAGTAAGTGAATATTTTCGTCTCTCCGTATTCGGTCGCGCAATTCAAAAAAGTCGCCCTCATTTCAGTGAGAAAACACTAGCATTGGAACGAAAAATTATCCGCTGTCGTAAATTCATTGCAGTTCCTGAAAAATGCGCCTTTAACTTTGCGTGGGGAATTTTTCTTTAAAATCTCAACTTCCGTCACGGGTTTGTTTCCAAGGGAAAGAAAGGCATCTAAGCAATCAATTTTTATTTTCATTTTATTTCTAAAATAAAATTTCCGAGATTAAAACAATTTTCAGCTAAAAGCGTATTTCAGTTACATAAGAGAAGTGCCACAGCCCTCTTATTTACACTTCCTGTGCGCTCCGGCTAGAATTACGATTTATCTCAAAAATCAAGGCTAAGTGCCTTAGCCAAGTTTCGGTGCAATTTAAGTTCTGAGATAACCTAACAATTCCTTCTTCCAATGAAACTACTTACTAAATTAAAAGCGTAAAATTCGTTAAACAATACTTATGGGAAAATATTAAATAATATCATTAGGGAGGAACGAGGAAATCAATTAACTTTTAAACAACAAGCAATAGCATGTATTAACGAGTTAGAAACAACTCTAAAGTTTATAAATTTCCTCAACCGTTAATCTTGCTCTACACGTAAAAAAGTATTTGCTATAAATATATATTCTTCCCAAGTACATAATTATTTTTTAGACACTTCTATCATATAGAATTACTGACAATTCTGTACAGATAACTTATACCCAGCCTCAGTTTTAAAGAAGGAAACATAATAAAATATCACATTTAAATTTTGAGAAATTTCTTTGTTCAGAAAGTTTTTAAAAAAACTTAAACCTGCTCTAAATCTAAGTCATTTTCATTCAAAATCATATTATATCGAACCAAATTTATGTTGGGTTTTATAGACAGCTAATTTAACTTGGAAACTCTATGTTGTGTCGTATACTAAATAGATTTCCATCGCAAATTAAAACCTTTTTCAATATCGAATAATAATACGAAAGAGAAAAGGTATTTTGTTCGTTGATCATATGCGTGGACTTTTTAGTTCTTTAAGGATTGAAATTATAGATTAAGAGTTTATTATATATTTATCGCTATAAAAAAGACAAGTTTTATTTTTCTGTTGTAAACACCCGTATCTACTTTCAGAACATTTCTAAAACATCTAAATGAATTTGCTCCTAGTTTACTCAAAATTTTGTTTTCAGCTTTAAAAAGTTATAAATCAATATGTACAATATAGCTACGATTAAAATTAAGATTAAATTACAACATGATAAGAAACAAACCACGATATTAAGTGAAACAAATATATAAGAGTGGTTTTAAGGTAATTTTGATTACGGCAAATTATATTTCTAAGGAATTTTTTTTATTATGATAACATGAAAAATCTCCGAAGAAAAAGTAAGAAGAAAGTAATATTACTAAAAAGCATGCAATTGCATTTTATTCAAAGGAAGTACTCACGGAATGACCAGAGAAATGAGCCCATGTTTGCGCTGCTCCGCACCAGTGATATGGTAGAGGGGAAGGCCCACAGCAAGGACTACAAGGGCTTCTGTGTCCCCATGCAGATCCTAAGCAATCCACAGGAGGAAGACTCCCTCTGTGGCTCCTGGGCGCTCTGCATGCTGACGCAGGTCGTCTTCTCACGGGTTCTGCGGTCAGTTCATCGGATAGCCCATCTGACCAAGATTCGATCGAATGCCGGACAACGCCGACCGGCGAGGTGCGGCGACTACTGCTCCCTCCGCACGTCGAGCTCGGACACGGAGAGGCGCGCACGTGGGGTCGCGGACTGGGCGTCGACCGATGCAGGGATTCCCTGCTCCTACGAGAAGCCCCTGTCAAAGCAGGGGGTGGCTTGTTCGGATAGAAGCCCTGATCGTCGTTCACGTTCTCGTAGCTCGAGCGCCTCTTGGGATGGTCCATCGCCGGACGGGGCGGGGACGAGCTGTCGCTGCTCATGTCCTCTTCGCCATCACAGCCGCGACTCGGCCCGCGTTGGTGCTGCTGCACGATACTGTTGATGCCCGAAGGGTCGCGTGGGGGAGGGGTTGGAGGGGCACCTCCCCTTCGCTCCCAACGGGAATTCATAGAACCAAAATAGAGCACACTCCAGAAGTTATTTCGGACTAGCACTTATGCCGAGTGGTGGAAAGAGCGCGGCAGAACCGCACACACATGAAGGAGACACATCCACACTCCGAGTCCCACAAACACAGTGTGTCTTTCACGAGGAGAGAAAATACGAGAGCAAAGAGAGCCTGACCTTAGGGTCACAAGGGGGGAAAGCGGAGGGAGCGTCAATATATTGCTCATCTTCCTCATAATGAGTCGCTTCTCCGCCTATATTTTTACACCTACATGAAAACCTCAAACGCGTTCTTCGTTTTGTGAAACGCTTTTCATCTTTTCATTTTCGTAGCTAATACTTCCATCCAACAATCTCCAAGTAAATGCCAAGACAAACTGCTCTTTCCTTAGAATAACACGTAGAATGAAAAAGCACGGAATCGTCATATTCTGGGTCAACGTTTCAAAAGGATGAACTTTCGAAATAGAACAAGGGAATCTTGTTAATGATTTAAAAATGAAAAACAATGGGAACTTATCTAAAATCAGAGAATTATTAAACGAAAAATCGGAGCAAAATTACAACAGCTGAAATGAGATAAAGCGATACTAATTAAAGAAGTTGCATGACAAAAGATCCCTTTTTCATACTACTGCATCAAAGAGTACTTTTAAATTTATACTTCTGATATTTAATTGGGATTTTTTGAACTTCGATCACATTAGAAGCTAAGTGTTTATTATTACATATGTTGTAATTTTTAAATAAAACAGATACTTCGAGTATTCATTTTTCGAAAAAAGTAAAAACCTGAATACGAAATTTGAGCCCTTCATTCGTAAATTCATACATTTCGAAAATACGAAATTTAAATTTTCAGTAGATGATGAAACTGCAATTTAATATGTTTTACATTTTAAAATAATAATATGATATAATCTAGCTTTCTATTAAACTTCCCAAATCGAAATGAAATTCAATGGCTTCAAAAGATTGCAAGTCTCAGTGAAAATTCTCTCTCCCAAAAATATTAATAATCAAAATACTAAAATTTTCATTAAATACAACATTTTATAGTCATGTTTCGCCAACCTGTTGCTATCATGGTATGAAAATCAGCTGCCATAACATTCAAACCGAGTTCGAATCTCTGTAAAAGCATAGATGCTTGTAAATGTATAATAACTTTGCGAAGGCATTTATATGCTATCCACCCGAAAGTTTTCTCGGGAAACTGGTGGAGGACGAGGAGTAAAAGACCCTTGGATTCGTCCTCCAGGGTATTCTCCATTAGAAGTCAGATTAAGTAAGGCAAGTTCATATTGTCATCTAATAATGTGCCTCAGTCAACAACAGACACGATGAATTCATGGATTTGATATAAGCTATGTTCAAATAAGGAGAATTAGTCGCAAAGCGCAACACATTCAGCTCATGAAGTGCAACTTTATTGAAAAAAGGTGGGGGGCTAATTAAGTAATGACCTGTAATAGTTAACTATATAAATTCAAAATTCTATTAACTGCTCTGCATAGCATTAATTTTTTGCTTATTTTCAGTTTCTGAATGCTTAAATTTCCTTTTTGCTTTTCCAATAGAATATTATTAATTTATTAAAAAATATGACATATAATGGTAAAAATATTTCTCATTCCTTCTTGCGCTCACAAATCATTGTCCGAGTATTCATACTTTTAAAGCCTGAACACACGTGTGCTATGTTATCGTCCAGCCATGATTTGTAGGTGCTGTATTTTTTATCCCGACGGTTTTCACGATAATGATTTAAAACGGCGATGTTTTTGAACCGCTTAATTTTTGAAAATTATGTTTTATACCACGATGTTCTTAGAACCGCGATGTTTTCTCCTCGCTTTCTTTTCTCCCATGACGTTTTGTAAGGCGACGTTTTCCTCTTGCGTTGTTTTCGGCTGACACCACATATTCATATTTCAAAGACACAATACAATACAAAGTATGGCTTTTTTAATTATGACCATTGTGCTAGTTATTTCGGCAAGTTATTATATTCGACAGGTACTAGCTCAAAATCAAAATCATCGCATAAATTTCTCCAAATAAAATAGAATAAATTTATCGACCCAACTTGAAGTAAATATAAAATAATAATACATACAGAGCTGCTGTATATGTCCATAGTCAAGATTACACTTAAAATTCTAACTGTATGTTCTTTTCATTTTTTAATAGCGACGGTCTCTATTTGAAAGTACGTGGAATTAAATCCACAGCCCCGTAGTCAAGTTGTTTTTCCCGTTCTACACGTACAGTTATAGAATTTTCTGGAGATATTTAAAGCGAACTGGAATGGCTGACGAGGCTGACGTCATTTCTTGGAAGCTCCGCCTTTCCAGACGCTATAAAAGAACTCGCAAAGGAATATCGGGGTCTTTTCTTTAATGTAACGATGCAGTAAACTTCATACAAAAAGTTATTAGTAATTCTTTTTATTTACTCCGGAAATATGATTTTTGTAACTGCTATTTCTCCTGACCAATAATAAATGGATCCTGTTTTTTAAACTTATCGTATGATAATTTAAGCTACGACTACATCTATGATTCTTCACCAATCTATTTATTCCGTACAAAAGCTATTAATTAAAATTTGAAAACAAAAGTTTATCTGACTCTGCATCAGTTTTGCAACTTAAGCTCAAATCAGTATCTGCAAAGAGCCCCATTAATCCAGCTCGGGTCCTAGGCACAGGATCCTTTTAAGGAGCGTCACAAGCTCAATTTCTTATGATTACGTGAAAATAAACGATGATTTGAAATACTCTAAACCTGGAGGTGATCAACTAAGGTGCTAACATTGGTCCTAAATTAGCCAAAAGGTTCTTAATTGTACATTGAACCACACTGATAGGAAACATATTAAAATATCTGATGTGGATACCACATGACTAACTTGTACGACGTATTAAATTATAGTACACATTTTTTGCTGCACTTCCTTGAATTTCATTAGAGAAATATTTCTATTTGAATTAATTCAGTTCTCACCTCGAGGCAAGGTACAAAATACTTAAAACCTCAATCTTCATTAAAAATTGTAAAATAAACCTAAAACACCATGTACAGTTTAAAGTTAAAAAGCGACTTTTATATTAAAAAAATTAAGAGTTTCTACGCAAAAACAAGTAATTTGGCCAACGCGAAAGAAGACTGATTTTTCGGTTCACAAAACTGAAAGTTTACTTTTGGTCCCACTCAGCAAAAAGACACCAAATTTTGTGCAAAAACTGACTTAATTCCAACTATTGTACTAAGAGTTTCAAATGTAAACAAATGGCGGCTTTGTTAGGCTTAGTAGCACTTAATTTTTAAATTGTTGATAATTCTACAACTATTGCATGCACATTAATTAAAGGCACAAAAACCTTAACCAGAACACAAGAACAACATAATTAAATCACTTTTAAAGCAAAAAATGGACAATTTACCAACATATAAGAATTAAAAAACTGAGCTCTCCGTAAAAGTATACATACTGGGTAAAAGTATACATATACTTTTGGTGCAGCCTATAGCAACCAAACAGGGAGGTTTTACAACTACATATCACAGAATTCACGTATACAAAATTTCAACGTTCTGAGGCTACTCGTTTTTGAGTTATGCGAGATAGATACATACGTAATTACGTATACACGTCACGTAAAAATATCACTTGTGAATCCATTTTAATTTATTTTAATTTTGGATATTTTCTGTGTCTCTCCAAACATGCAGATGACATGCAAAAATATCGTTTAAATGGAGTCGAGAACGGTCAAAATGGATATTTTCGTTGAAATGATAATACCCAAAATTTTTCGCGATAACAATACTTCCTTTACTTCGGACAAAGGAAGTAAAAATTCTCCAGAAGTGAAATTGACTTTTAAAACCTGATCAACTAAATTTATCATTAAAACAGAAAATAAATTAAACGTTGACTTTCTGGGGAATTGAAGCAATTTTTAATTGATGGAAAACAAAAAATAAATAACAAGCATATTGTGAGTATTTTCAACGATATAATTATTTACAGAAATTTGCATAAAAACATGTACACATAAGTTTTATCAAAATCCGAAGGAAAGAAATGTTTACCAAAAGCAACAGATTTTAAATAACGAAGTTCCCGAAAAAAAAAAAAATCATATAGGTACTAAATGCATAAGAGTAGAAGAAAGCATTTTCTGCTAAATAAAATGACAAGATTTGGCCTGGGGAAGAAAGCAAACTGAATAAATAATCTCAAAATATTCTAATGCTAAAACGTAACATACAGTGAATTATCAAAATGACATAGTAAGGAAGCGAGTTGAAAAGTTCAGTTTTAAATGGTGTATATGAGAGGTTGAATTAGCGAAATTCACAACCAGTAAAAACTGAGAAAAGCTTGCTTGTGTTATACTTCAGAAATGTTTTCTGCATTTTTAAGAGTTTGAGGATCCTTTCATATGACGTAATGGCTCCTCAAAAATTAATTTGCATGACTTGTTTTATAATATTTTTCGCAATAAAATTACATAAACCAAAAGTTAGTTCGAAAAATCTCTCGAGAAGCCTTGGTATTTAACTTTCGAACCTCCAGAGATCCATAGGCTATTATTGTTCGGGTTCGATAGTTTCACTTCTTTAGCTTTCTCGTATTTTAACCTCTATTTTTACATAGTTTCGAAGTAAGCGAGAGAATTAAATTAATAAAGAATTAGGAAAGAAAAACAAAAACCTAAATGTTAAAAAAGTAATAAGATATTGCAGAGCATTTTAGCATGCAAAAAAAGAATTGGAAAAATAAAATTCTACACATTAATTCGAATTACTTTAGAGAGTTCTAGTCAGAAAGAAAATCTAAAAGCCATAACATTAAGTCATTCTCCCATAATTCCAGAATTTATTATATGCTTTATTAATCGTTTTTCGTGTAACGACGGAGCCTTTTAAAAATGCAAAGGATGCGAAGTTTTATACAGAAACAATTAAAAAATGTTAAAGTGTTAATAAATACATTAAAGAAGTAATAATGTGCAACCAGAATTGGAGTAGCCACTTGAGTAAATTTGTAGATCTATAGTTTCAAAATTTAAACTAAACTTCCGCCAGTTGTAGAAAAAGTTTCTATT